TGTATGTGCGTGGCCTTCTCCACCACCTTCAAGGCAGTCGCCCGCACCTGGTACCGAAACCTCGCACCCGGCTCGGTAAGAAGTTGGGCACAGTTCATGCAAATTTTCACTTCTCACTTCGTCACCCGCAAGAGGTGCCCGCGAACCCAAGAGAGCCTCCTTAGCATAGTGCAGAAAAAAGGGGAGTCCATCCGGAGCTACATCAAGCGGTTCAATGACGCTTGTTTGCAGATACCCGACCTAGATCCTGCAGTTCGCCTCACAGCAGCCAAGCGAGGTATCACTCATAAGGAGTTCAAGTGGCACGTGGTTGTCAACCAACCCAAAACCGTGACCGAGTTCCTTAAGCTCGCGGATTGGTTCATTGGGACGGAAGAAGAAATCAACCAGAGGGGCAAGYAGGCCYCAGAAAAAAGAAAGAGGGAGTCGGAGCCCCCATCTCAAAGCGACAGCAGGAAGAAGAAGGATATAGCTCGGAGGGCAAGGCCAGTCCAGCCCTCCCGGGCCCCAGCAGCAGAAAGGGACTACACACCCCTCAACACAAAGTGGGCCGAGATCCTCATGGCGATCAAGGACGTCCCATACGTTAAGTGGCCGCCTCGGTTGAAGGCCGACCCCAACACCCGAAATAAAAATTTGTACTATAGCTTTCACAAAGACCACGGTCATAGTACCGAAAGTTGTAAAAACCTCCGCGATGAGATAGAAGAGCTTATCCATCGCGGATATTTAAGGAATTTTGTAAAAAATAGTAGTAATAATAAAGCAGGTCGACAGGGGGAGCAAGGTAGAGACGCCCCCGAATCCAGCCGGCAAGCGGAGCAACCGCAGAAGCAGCCCCCCGAAGAGGAACCAGTTCGGGGGATCATCCACGTCATAGTCGGAGGATCGATTGTGGCAGGTTACACTTCAGCAGCATCTCGCACATCAGCTCGTGAATCTGACAGGGAAGAGCAGAACCCTCCAAAACGGGCAAAGACAGAAGACCCCATCTTCTTCACCGAGGATGATGCACGCGGGGTCCACTACCCTCATGACGACGCGCTCATCATAAAGATGAGGGTCAACGACTTCGAAGTCAAGCGAGTCCTCGTTGATTTAGGCAGTTTGGCGGATATCCTCTTCAAAGCGGCCTTCGACAAACTCCAGCTTCCAGAGAGCGACCTAAAGCCCGCAAACACTCCCTTGGTTGGCTTCAGCGGAGAGGAGGTTCGGCCCCTAGGAAGAGTAACAGTACATGTGGAAGTCGGCACCTGGCCTAGCATTGTAAGGCTCAACCACGACTTCTTGATGRTCACGACCCCCTCCCCATACAACGCCATAGTAGGCCGGCCGATTACCCATGCTTTACAGACTGTGGTGTCCACCTACTACTTGGCCATGAAGTTCCCCACGGACTTCGGTATCAGGGTAGCGCGGGGTGACCA